CTGGCTCTTTTCTACCGTTACACCAACGGGCTTTGCTCCTCACAGCTCCCTTCCACGATGCCGTCGCGCGATGTGCCTGCCAGACAGACCCGCCTAACTTTGGCGTCCCGTCCTAACCGTGTCGAACTTCGTACATCCAGAACCGGCCGATACGACCGCTCCTTTGTCCCGAGGGTGTCGAGATTGTGGAACAATCTACAAGAGGAAGCTTTTCCCAGTTCTATTAACCTTAGGCAGTTCAAAAATCGTATTAATAAAATTTCTTTGGGATCATCATAGCAGCCGCGGTGTTCCGGCATTTAGGCTTCTGCCTGCGCGGCTGCTTCCATATATAAAAAAAAACACATAGTTATGGTTTGCGTCGTTACCAACAAACCCAATGTGTCCGTTCTTTTGGTTTTACAATTGCAACAAGTGTTCTCGTCCACGCTTTCGTTTTAAAACACCATTTGTCTGCCACCTCACCGACGACTCCTGAAGATGACATCATAGTGTGTCGAAAGCTCGAGATTACCGTCAAAAGAGTTTACTAAGCCTAAAGTTTGCCGATTTCCCAATTAATAATTAATTGTAGTTCTTGCCCAATTGGTCGTTAGCAATGACAATGACTACTGCTCGTATTATAACGTATATATATATATATATATATATATATATATATATATATATATATATATATATATGTGTGTGTGAGCAGTAGTCATTGCCAAAGCCAACGACCAGTTGGGTACAAAATACAATTAATTGTTAATTGGGAAATTAGCAAACCTCTTAGGCTTAAGTTGACTCTTTTGACGATAAAATCAAGCTTTCGGCATTCTCTATGGAGCCTTCATCAGGATTTCGTCGGTGAGGTTGCAGCCACAAGGTGTTCCAGAACGAACGTAGAGAAGATCGAACTTATAATCAGTATAAGAACAAAAGGACGGGGACATTGGGTTTGTTGTAAAACGACAGATACCTTCGTTAAATGTAAAAAATCCACCCGAAAATATTACACGTGAGACGACATTTTGTTGAAACTTGCCCCTCTAGTAATTTTGGTATGTGACTTAAATATGACTCTCTTCTTATCATGAGTCATTGTAATTTAGTCTATTGTTAGGGCTATTATAAGTTTGCTTATTCTTCCATTAATCATATTGCCTGAATACCTGCTAGTAAAATGAATTTTAAAATCATCTGAATTTTTTACTTTATCGCTTATTCCTTTATTACCTTAAATTTAGTAACATATTTTTTATACTGCTACAGGTATTTTTAATTTTTTATTCTAATAAAATATTTAGATTTTTTTTATAAATTTTTTATCTTAGGAGGTTTGCCACAGTTTTTTACTGAATATCTGTATGTTATGTAATTGTTTTGTTTTTTAGAAGAATGTACTTGTAGCAATCATACTAAATAAATCTTAAACAAACAAAACCTTTTTTAGGATTCTTACCAAAATTATTAACTATTAATGGTTTAATTAACAGATTTTTTTTAGATTAAGAATTATTTTAATTGTATTTATACTAATCACATTATTTTTTATATGCGACTAACCGTCTTAAGCTTTTCTTCTGATTAAAATAGAATCAATTTTTCTGTAAAATTTTCATTAATGTTTGTTAACATGTTAGCTTTTACCGGATTACTTTATTAAATAATAATAATCATTTCTTAAAAAAATAATTTTTGTCTAGCATTGTAATAAAATTCACTAGAACAGCCTTATTGAACCCACAATAATTTATATTAGGTTTGCATTACACAACACAACAATCATTATCGAAATTGAAAATTTATTAAATTGAAAATCTCAAATAAGTTACACAAAATTTAACTAAAATAATTGATATTGAGATAATTTACTTAACTTGCAATATTTAACAACAGTTTATTGAAAATTTATGAAATTTATAAGTTTAGAAAAAAGTAATTTATACAATTCTTAAACCTTAAACATTAGTAAAAAATCTATATTGGATAATTGATTAAGCTAATATAAAAAAATCTGTAAAGTAATCTTGCAATACTTGAAAATAATGTCAAGTATTCTAACTTATTGAATTTGCAAACTTATTGTAATGAAAATAATTCATACTAAAATAAATAACTTGTTGTTTACTGTAATATTCAATAAAAATAATTAAATAGATTTACAAAACTTACAATTAAACAAAAATAATTAATGGAATAATTGATTAATTAAACCACAAGTCAAAAATAAATTAAAAATTTAAATTTACAATCCAACCTTGAAAAAATATAATACCTTGTAAAACATGTATATATTTATTTAAAATAATTTTATTGAATTTACTTGAAATATCTTAAATTCGTAATCAAACATACTCCAAACCTAAATGTATTTTTTTTATAAACAGTTGAATAAATTTAGTACAGTTAAAAGATTAAATTTAACTCAAGGATTTAAGTTAAATTTAAACTTTTAACCTTCAAAGTTGAATATAGAATAGTTATTCTAAGCCTTAAATGTCTTAGTTTAAAGCTTTAAAAGTCAAACTTTACTATCAAATTTGCAATTTAATATCATTTTTGAATGTATAGCTTAGCAAGAGAAAATTTCGTTCATAAATTTACATTTTATTGCCTATACTCCGCAATCTCACTGAACAAATGATTTTTTTCTACAAATCATAAAGATATTGGTACCTTATATTTCATATTTGGAGCTTGAGACGGAATAGATGGAACTTCTCTTAGAATATTAATTCAAGCTGAACTAGGAAACCCTGGATCACTTATTGGATATGAGCAAATTAATAATGTTATTGTTACTGCCCATGCATTTATTATACTTTTCTTATAGTTATACCTATCGGAATGCCTTCAAAATTTTATTAGCGTATACCTCCATGATAGCAAATATGTTTACAAGTTCTTAAAATTGAATAAATAAATCTGGGTGTTGCATTTTATATGTCACTCAGTATAGAATCAAGAGTTAGCAGGAACTCTCGATATATAGGGTTAGTAGAAAAAACCGGAACGGTAGATTATCTCAGCAACCGTCAGATATAAATGAACCAAATTTTGTGCGAAGCGGTAACTCAACATGAAGAATTCAAAAATTATATTTGCAAGGCTGCCAAATTAGAAAATTTTAAAATTTTAAATGGGGAATACCGTAATTTTTATTGTAATCAATTGCCTGTCTCAACTTTATTATGACCTGATATTATCGTTTTTTTACTCTCGTCAATTTTACAGATGCGGCATCACGCTTTGTTTCATTCCTTACACTTGCATCTTAGTAAGAAATCATCCGTTTGTTTGTTTTCCAAAATAAATAAGAAGGCATGTTATTCATTTGTTTGTAATGTCATGGAGACTTCAGAACCATAACAATTCAAAAGTAACAAATATTGCGGGCGTTAATATGGCATTTGTACTAACTTAACGAAGAACAGCGAATTGAAATTCTTATTTTTCGAGATCATGGAGATAAACAAAGATCTTATCAAGAAGTGTGCAATTTGTTTAATGCGCTGTACGCCGAAAACCAAATTAAAAAATCTACCATCTGCAGGACAGTAAGAAACTTTCTTGAAACCGGCGGAGTGAAAAGAAAAACTGGATCAGGGGGACCGAAAATTGCCACTAGTGATGAGAATAAGTTAAATGTTCTTTTACTCGAAGAAAACCCTAGGACAAGTACCACACAATTAACCCTTAATTCGCGAATAAGTCAGAAATCGGTCAGAAAAATCTTGGCCGATGAAAAACTCAAACCCTACAAAATTATTTACCTCCACCAACTGCAAGAAGATGATCCAGACCGTCGAGCACAGTTTGCAAAAACTATGTTGGAAATGATAACAACCACAATTTTCACAAACAAATTTTGTTTAGCGATGAAGCCACCTTCTGTTTAAATGGACAAGTGATTCGGTACAATAGCAGATTCTGGAGTAGAGAAAATCACTGGATGTCGGAACTTCACACTCAATACCCTGAAAAAGTTAATGTTTGGGCGAGAATTTTGGGCAATCATGTCATTGGTCCATTTGTCGGGACAAAAATATCTTGATCTCCTTAGACAACGCATAATACCCGAAATTAGAAATTTAGATGAAAATATGGACGAAATTTGGTACCAGCATGATGGAGCTCCAGCTCATTTCTCCAGAGGGGTCATCGAGTTTTTAAATAATCAATTTCCATGAAGATTGATTGGAAGACGTGGCAATCCCCAGATATAACCCCACTAGATTTCTTCTTTTGGGGTTTTCTGAAGTGCAGAGTTCATAAAGGTCGGCCTAACAATTTAGAAGAACTTAAGCAAAAGATTTTGGATGAAGCCGCACAAATTACTCCATATTATCGAATACTGTGGCAGAATTTTACGATCGCCTCGGATATAATTTAGCCAACGATACTAGCCATTTTGAGCATCTAAATAAGTAGATAGGTATTTTGTTATTTTTTAATATTATTTTGCACTAATATTTACTTGTTTGATAATTAAATTTCCTTATTCTCTTACCTAGACTTTTTTAAATAGAAATCATTAATTTAAAAAGTCCAGTTACTCCCCTGTACTAATTTTGGGGAATTTCGAGATACTTAACCATACCTTTTCGTTTTTGTATTCATTTCGGAAGAAGCATGATGCCATATCTCCGAAAATCACAAGAGTTAGAAAACGATAATATCAAGTCATAATAAAGTGGATACAGGCAATTGATTGCAATAATAAAAATTAGGGTATTCCATTTAAAATTTTAAAATCCCCTAACCTAGAGAGAAAACTATATACTTGGCAACCTTGCAAATATAATTTTTGGATTCTTCATGTTGAGTTACCCCTTCGCACAAAATTTGGTTCATATTATATTTGACGGTTGCTAAGATAATCCACCATTCCGGTTTTTTCTACTAACCCTGTATATGGACGAAGTATTGGTCGAATCATTTCAGCGCTTACAAATTGGTATCGAAGTACGAAATATTTTATACTACATCCGTAAATAACGGACGATCTCTCGTAGGTAATGGAAGATGCCCCACCGGGTACTGTATTCTACACTCTAACAGCCTTGGATCCGGATATCACCTCAGCAGATGCCCTGAACTTCGCGGCCACCGAACCAATCACAGCATTGGACAAGCATGGGAATGAAGTGGCCGGCAGCGAGGAATTTAAGGAATTCTTTTCAGTCGACAAAAACTCCGGGAAGGTATCTGTATTAAACAGGCTTAATAGAGACTTGGCTGCTACAGTTAGGATCAAGGTATGGAACATGTAAAGCACTCACTCGGAGGGTTTACCGATGAAATAACTATACGTTCTTCGCTTTACGAAGGTTTATAACAGAAAATGTAGGGTACAATACTTTGTATATACGTGAACAACAATGTCTGTCTCTCGTGGCACCATCATCCCCTCTTCTTCTTGCGTCACCGGTTGGTAACAAAAAAACCTGTAGATTTCCCGCCCGGTCGGTAACGTAGGGTAACCGCCTGGCCAGTAGCAAACGGTTGATGCGTTGAAGCGCCGCTCACTAGATGGCGCGAGAAGTACGGTGGGTGAGCTTAACATACCGGCGGCCTTGAAAGATCCTGATGAGCAGGGCTTTCAACACTGTTCTTAGGAAAATCTTCAACTGGTAGAAGGGCTACTCTCTGCACAGCTCTCGTGGTTTCTCCATTGACAGTGCGCACGGTTACAGTGCGGGCAACTCCATCTTGTCCATGGTGTAGTTTGGTGATGCGTCCCAGTTTCCATAGCATGGGAGGCAGGTTGTCGTCGAGAAGTAAAACTAGCTTTCCCTCATGAATTTCTTGCGTATCCGCCTTGAGCCATTTGGTCCGAACTTGCAATAGTTGAAGGTACTCCTTGGACCATCTATGCCAAAACAGTTGGTAAGCTTGCTGTAGGCATTGGTATTGAGTCAGCCGATTCATCGGTGTAGTCGTCAAGTCTGTGTATGGGATGGTAGTTAAGGGTTCGTGGATAAGGAAATGGCCGGGTGTAAGGGTAGACAAATCGGAAGGGTCAGCAGAAAGGGGTGTCAGAGGACGCGAATTCAATATAGCTTCCACTTGCGCAAATATTGTGGTTAGCTGTTCAAAAGTATAGATTTTCTTTCCAAGTACGCGAGATAGGTGGAACTTGGCACGCTTTACGGCAGCCTCCCACAAGCCTCCACGGTGGGGACATCGCGGCGGAATAAATTTCCATTCAGTATTGTTGGTTAGGAAAAATTTGACTACACTGGGGTCTTGAATATTTAAAACAAGTGCGTCATAAATTTCTTTCAATTTATTATGAGCACCAACAAAATTAGTTGCATTATCGGTGTATAACATCCGAGGTAAACCTCGACGGGACGTGAACCTAGTTAAGCAGCCAAGAAATGAGTCGGCACTAAGATCACTCACTGTTTCCAAATGTACTGCTTTAGTGGTAAAGCATACAAAGATACACAAATAGGCTTTAATTATAGCACGGTTCCGTAGGCGGCCATCTTTTATTTGAAAGGGTCCAGCGTAGTCTATTCCCGTTATCAAAAAGGCCCGATTGACGGTGACTCGATCCTTCGGCAGATCCGCCATTTTGCGTACAATCGTGGTAGGATTCACTCGAAAACAGGTCAAACACTTATTCAAGACGTTTCTGACAGTACTTTTTCCACCAATTGGCCAAAAACGCTGTCTTAGTGAACTTAAAATAGCTTGCGCTCCCGCGTGTAGCTGCCGGTGATGCTCGTGCTTAATCAATAACACAGTAAGGCGATGCTTTGAGCCTAATATAAGAGGATGTCGGGTTTCAAATGGTAAGTCAGACTTGGTCAAACGGCCTCCAACCCGCAAATAACCTTGTTGGTCGAGGAATGGACTTAAATTTTGGATCCGCGAGATCTTAGGCAAGTTCTTATTCCGAGATAAACATTCCATTTCCGTGGTGAAGTCTTGGGCTTGAGCTTGCCTGACTAAGATAAGTAGTGCTTCATTAAATTCTTCGTTAGTTATGGGACCTGATTTGCGGTGGGCAGGTGGCGATGTTGCGTTGTGTGTAAATCGCTTACAGAAGGCTATGATTTTTTGCAGTCTATATAATGTCGCACCTCTTTCGAAAATAGTATGGTCAACGGTACGCGCAACTAGCGAGATCTGACACTTTCGTGCCTCCAAAACACTATTTTCAATATTGGATGCAGTTTTAAAACTAGGTCTTGGCCAGGACTGCTCGTCCTCAGCTAACCATGATGGCCCATGCCACCAGAGCTCACATGTAGCGAGTTCGGGGGCCCTGAGACCTCGCGACACGATGTCTGCAGGATTATCCTGAGACGAGATATGATTCCACTGGGTTATATTACTTACATTCTGTATTTCTGTGACACGGTTCGCTACGAACTGTTTCCACTTGATAGGTGGAGCCGAGATCCAGGACAGGACTATTGTGCTGTCTGTCCAGTAGAAAATCTGATTAATGTGCGTATCAATAGTTTGCATGACTCTACTAACCAACCGTACCATTAGGAGTGCTCCACATAACTCGAGCCGTGGCAGACTTATAGCCTTTAACGGTGCAACCCGAGATCTTGAACACAGCAAATTTACGGTTGAACCTTGTGGTCCGGTACTTTTTACATAAAGATTCGCGCCGTATGCCCGCTGTGATGAGTCGCAAAATGCGTGAATCTCGATTCGAGTTGCGTTTGTCATAATAATTTGTCGGGGTGTTTCGATTTCTTGTATAGACGATAACTCACTTATGAACTTAGTCCAACCTTTTGAAACCTTAGGAGTGACTATGTCATCCCATCCCGCTTTTAACTGCCAAAGCTCTTGTATCATCAACTTCACGGTTACGGTCACTGGGCTGAGTATCCCTAACGGGTCGAATATCTTCGAGATGGCGGATAAAATACCTCGTTTCGTGATGCGCTTTAGTACGAACTGATCTATTTCGACTGTATATTTGAATACATCAGATGGGGCATTCCAAAATACACCCAATGTTTTGCGCGTCTCATCGTTATTCAGCTGAAACGTATTAGATTCGTTGTTAACTGTTTGCTCTAACGCCTCGACGCGGTTTGACAACCATTTCCTCAACGGGAACCCATACGAGTCAAGTATAGCGGCTAATTCATTTTTTAACTGCTTTGCGTCATCTACCGAGTCTGATCCACTGATCAGGTCATCGACGTAAAAGTCATTTAGGATAACTTTACTAGTCTTAGGATACTTTTCGAGATTATCTTGCCCAACTTGTTGTAAACAGCGAACTGCGAGAAAAGATGCCGATGCCGTGCCGTACGTGATTGTATTTAACTTATAATGAGCTATGTCTTCACTTGTGTTTTCACGCCATACAATTCGCTGCAAGTCACGCTGACCTTCTTCAACACCTACTTGCCGATACATTTTGGCAATGTCAGCAACCAACACTACGCTATATTTTCGAAATCGCACTAGGATGTCAAACAGGTCTTGTTGGATCTTAGGCCCGATAATCAATGTGTCGTTTAACGATAATCCGCTATTTGATTTGCTTGAACCGTCGAATACAACGCGCAATTTTGTCGTTGTACTCGCTGGGTTCGATACTCCGTGATGAGGTAAATAAAAGGTATTCCCGATACTAGGGGTAATATCCGTTTCAGCTATTCGCGACATGTGGCCCAACGACACGTATTCTTTCATGAACGCGACATATTCTTCTCGAAATGATGGATTTTTGCTGAATTTTCGCTCCATTGCATGTAATCGAGTTATCGCGTTATGTAAGTTGCAATCCAGTTTTGTTACATTGTTTTTTATTGGTAAGGTGACAACAAAATGTCCGCGTTCGTCGCGTCGCGTTGTTTTTCTGAATAAAGTCTCGCATTCATCGTGCTCGGGTATTTCTGTTTTGTGTCTAGAGACTTCTTCTACGAGCCAAAATTTTTCGATCTGGCTTTCAAGTCTCGTGCTAACGGCGAGATTGCACACTACCGTACTATCGGATTGTTCCTGCTCAAGTTTCCCCGATATAATCCAGCCTAATACCGTGTTATGCAAAACGGGTAGTCCTGGCCCTAATTGGATCTGACCAGAACACAATAGTTCTAAGTACAATCCTGCTCCCAAGAGAACATTGATTTCTGACGATTTATGGTAACGTGGGTCCGCCAACTGTACGCTGGACGGTATACGCAAGTTTTCTGGGGCGAAAGATACGCTCGGCTGATTCTCGGTTATTTTTTCCAACACTAACAACGTTTGCTTTGTAGAAAACGTCGTGCAGGTAGACCTTATCTCTGTAGATACCACTTGACATGCCTTTGGAACAGAACTGCCTACACCTAATACCGGTATTCTACTATTCATAGGCTTTAATTTCAACAATTCCACCGTGCGTTTCGTGATGAAGTTCGGTTGCGATCCGCTATCAAGTAAAGCGCGACATTCGTGCCATCGCCCTTCCGCATCTTTGAGTAAAATTATCGCCGTGGATAATAAAACTCTGTTTTTGAGGTCCACACAGCTACCCGCAAGCAACCCTGTCGACTGATCATCATTTTTTTGTACTGCGCTACTCGAACCCTTAGCGATTGCTACGCCACTGGTAGCCGCTGATTCAGAACTCGCGAGCAGTGCCGACCCTGTGGCAGACGACGTCGATGCAGGGACCGCATTGTGATGAGATGATTCATGCAACAGCGTGTTGTGTCTGGCGCCACATCGCTTACACCCCCGTGAACGACATTCACCCTTCTGGTGGCCTTGTCGGAGGCAGTTCCAACATAATTTTAATTTTTGAATTTCTTGGCGCAAAGATGCGGCTGGTAATGCTTTGAATTTATCGCACAAGTAAATCGCGTGCTGACCGTTACAATACACACATGATGCTTCGATTGCTGCGCCCGAAAATGTTCTATTCAAGCTTACAGGTTTCTTGTGGTTAACCGATGTATTCTGTGCTCTGCCTGTGGATTTATCAGATTTTTCACGCGATATGGCCTCAAGCAATTGACACCGAGCATTTAAAAATTTGATTAAATCATCTATACCAGGCGATTCAATTTGACGTGAGATTACGTGCTCCTCCCACGACTTTTCCGATGAAGGATCGAGTTTTTTTGTGATTAAATAAATTAGCAAAGTACTCCACTGTGTCACAGGCTCGCCTAAGGAAGTTAATGACCTCAAATGCTTTTGAAGGTCATCTGTTAATTTTCTAAGGGAGTGAGGATCTCTAGTTACCGATGGCATTTCAACTAATTCTCGAACATGATTCTTTATGATAACTGTACTATTTTCATATCGAGATTTTAATAACTGCCATGCATGATCATAATTCTCTCCTGTGACTTCCATGTTTTCGATTACTCTTGCGGCTTCTCCTTTTAGACAGCTCATCAGATAATAGAATTTTTTGACATTATCTAACGTAGGATCTCTGTCAACTAAGGCCAAAAACATATCCCTGAACTGACCCCATTTTTCATATTCACCATGAAACTTTGGCAACTCAATATTTGGAAATCTTGTATTTGAGACAGAATGCAACTGGTGATGTGAGAGGCCCACGTTTGATGAAGGTTCTGTGTTTATTTGCTTGCTCGCTTTTGTGTATCTGTGTGCATTCTCTATTGCGCTGTAATACCTGTCTTCAAAGGTGGCTCTCTCACTTGAACTTAACTCAGTTTCACTGAGAATCTCTATTTCATCTTGTACTGTATTGAAATTGTCTAACAATCCCGTGGCTTGCTCTAAACGCGCCTCTAATTGAATTATTTCACTTTTATCAAAGTTTTCTAGATACGTTATAAAACGCGTTAGTGAACCCTTTATTTGTCTTCGCTTGATGAGCAGCTGCCGTAACTGCTGTGCAGTTTCACTTGTGGAATCGGAATCCATAGCTGGATCGATCATTTTTTCAACTAGACGATATGACTGATTGATTGCACTACTGATTGACCTGATTTTGAATCAACGAGACAAGGAAGTGATAAGGAACAGACTTACAGCAGGTATTTCTGACTCAATCATCTGGTTTCAATACTTTTAGCTTTCGTGGTCGTGGCGTGGCTTCGTGGTCGTGTCGTGGCGTGGCTTCGTGGTCGTGGTGTGGCGTGGCTTCTTTACTTCGTCGTTTTCTTACGTTACTGATCGTGGCTCGAAGGACCAACGTGTAAAGCACTCACTCGGAGGGTTTACCGATGAAATAACTATACGTTCTTCGCTTTACGAAGGTTTATAACAGAAAATGTAGGGTACAATACTTTGTATATACGTGAACAACAATGTCTGTCTCTCGTGGCACCATCATCCCCTCTTCTTCTTGCGTCACCGGTTGGTAACAAAAAAACCTGTAGATTTCCCGCCCGGTCGGTAACGTAGGGTAACCGCCTGGCCAGTAGCAAACGGTTGATGCGTTGAAGCGCCGCTCACTAGATGGCGCGAGAAGTACGGTGGGTGAGCTTAACAGAACACAAACTGTGAAAAGCAACAATTCTCTTTGTTCTCCCTCATGTCCTGTCATATGAATATATAAAAAGGTAGAATTCCATGAAAAAAATTTCACTTGCAAAAGGTAGACCATAATAAGTTTATTACTCAAATAAAATCACTTTACGGGAAATGATGTGCTTCCACCAAGCATTTTTGACAGTATTAGGTTGAATTTTACCGTGTGACGATTATACTCGTATTACATTCTATATTGTGTACCCAGTATAATACGTCAGTGCCCAAGCAGAATTTAAATCAAACAGTGATTGAGAAGGTTTGAAAATACCAAACGATATGTACAGGTTGACCGCAGATCCAAAGGATGAGTAAAAAAGAGATTCACTAATTTTCTCGTGAGACAGTGAATGCTAAAATTCACTTGACAATTCTCAAACCTTTTCATATTATCACTTGATTCTTATCCTTGCACACTGACGTATACTCTACTGTCCATACTTAGCGCTAAATAATGATATAGAAAAGCCATTATCAAATGATACCAATCGCATTCATCAATCATTTAGGCCCGTATCGCCAGTCGTCCCTACTATTGTAGGGCGCGTTTATGGCCTCCTTGATTGTCATACTCCTTTCTCTCCTTCAAAAATTTCTAGATTACACTTGTGCCGTGTCAGCGTCAGCGCTCTCGTATTGTGAAGATATGTTTTATTTTTAAATTGTAGGAAATTTCAGGCTGATAAAACATGATATAACTCAAAAGCAAGCACAATTTGATGCAAATAGATGTTTGTGACATAACCTCAAAATAGAGCGCTGACACGGAGAAGTAGAAAACTATGACAATCAAAGAGGCCATAAAGGGGCCCTACAATTGTAGGGACGACTGACGATACGGGCCTAAGGCCCGGATTCATTTGGGAACCAAACTTGAACTTTATTATGACCACCCAGTGTAAATATACAGAGTGATCAAAGGTACAGTAGCAATAATACTAGTGCAGGAAGTACGTCTGTAAAACATGGAAAGTTCTCATAAACATTGGTCCTAATACCCAATTACCTTGATACAGGAGTAAATTCTCTTGCCACTGACGGCACTGATTAGAGAGAGAATACAAATATTCGACAATTAACGCAGTGAGATGATATTGCTCCCCTAATATACTATATTATGCAGTTTTCAATGACAAATTTGACAAACGATGACATATTTCCAAATCAGAATGTCTACAGGAGCGTTTCATGTTATTTTTTGATTTACTTTCTACTCTAGACATATTCCCATTGATTTTTTAATGTTCCTATGAATCTGACATATGTTCAATATACTAACTGACTTCGACTCTAATAAACACCTCATTTTAACCCTGTAGGTACTTGTTACGGACATAACAGCTCCAACAGTTCAACAAGGCGAAGGGCTATTAGTCATAACAATAGGAGACGTCAACGATTCACCACCTATCTTTTTGCCACCATGGACATTTGAGAACCCTGTATACTACTTAGAACTCAAAGAAGAACTACCTGTTGGAACTATTGTCGCTACTTACAAGGTGTGTACGAGTATATTAGCAAGTATACATACTTCATTTGTATTTCAGTATTCCATTTTGCCATTAATAAGTAGTAGGTACAAATAAATCAATTCGAACAAGAATATGTCTTGGAAAGTATAATTTGGATTTTTCTCATTTCATTCATGACCACTACTTTTATTTTTCAGGCAATAGATGAAGATGGCGATATAGCAGGTTACGAAATCCTATCAGAAAGTGGATATTTCCAAATCAACAATGGCACAGGGATTGTGCAAATCAAGAAACAAATCGATTACGAAGAGGTAAGTATAAGCAGATTTGGAGCGACGAACTTGAGTTTGAACTTACTTCTTACAGCTTAGTGCAGTCTCTTCAATCATATTTTCTTAAATAACACGCTACTATATGGACGTTGTTGAACCAATAGGCTTATCTCCACTAGAAATACATCAGATAGGCGATAGTTTCGAACGATCAATAATGATTTGGACATAACAGAAAGCAATATCATTTATTATAAGAACTATAGATTATTTTTTTTAAATAAAATTAAAAGCAATAGACATGTAGTCACGTGACAAGAAACAACAGTCAGAAAGTGTTACATCATGCCATGTCGAACATCCTGTTGTTGACATTTTTATACAGAGAGGCTATCACACAAGAGATATTTTTAGTTCTGAGAGGTTTTTGTCTAGTTATTTGAATATATCTTGAAAACAAGTTCAATTCAAATTTTTCGCATCCAACAGTAATCATCGGAATTCTGTAATGTTAAAATCCCAATGTAAATATATATAATTGTAAAATATAAGTCTTATGCTCAAATGGTGTTAATTCAGTTTTGTATACAATAAACTTTTACTTTAGCATGCATTCACAACTTACAGGTTTTGAGGTTCGCTTTGCGCAGTATAAACATAGCTAAATTTGATTTCAGATCCTCTCGAGCTTCATATGGGGAATATGCCATAAGTTATGCGAGCATGACAGTAAAAAGTGCACAGTGTGTTACCCCAATACATTCTACTTATACAGTTAAATTTTCTCACATTTTAACAGAAATAAAAAATCTGAAACGTGCAAATTCGATAACTTTTTGGCAAACAAAAATAATAAAAACGCCACTATTTTGTTTGTAGTTACATTGAATATTTATTGAGATCAACTGTGGCAATTTCACAAACATATTACACCTTAGACCACAAAATTTTGATGACGAGCCCGAGTTGATGAATGTGTACGAGAGAAGGCACATTATGTTGGATAGAGATAGAAGCCGCCTGGACGGCGAAGCTCATCACAACGTTGCCTAGCGATGGTGCGGCAGAAGGTCGTGCAATTTTCCGCGTTGCCAATATCTTCCACCAGTTCCTTAAATTAAGTTGCATATTGAAAATATGCGTGAGTTTATTATTTACGCCCAAATAATGGTTTTATTTTATGCGTACACATTTTTGAATTATGAATTGTGTCGAATCTGTTTAGGATCGATTCTCGATAGGTCCTAAAGGCGCGCCATTTTACGTCGAAATGAAAGGTCAGAATCGCAAATTCTGCAACATTGCATCATTGGTTCGATCGACAACACCGCATCTTGTACATTCCAAGGGCAAGGTTGTCACCTCCATGGATCATAGATGAGCGATTTTGGAAATGTTGCCGAACCTACCAATTTTTCGGCGTTTCTACCGGAATGAAACCTTATTTACCGAAAACGTGCACATTTCTACAATTTTTTTAGATAATTCAGGACCAAAAGTGTATGTAGTCTATGTACTTTTATGCTCCATAGCAGTTATACACAAACATCTCATATTCCGCTTTCCCTATATTGGTTTTTGTGCGTACAACAGGTACAGACGGGTAAATCACCGTCATTACCGCATGACCGGACAAACAATAACGAAACCATAGCTCGTCCGTATTTAATTGAATATTAAATTAAAATTTCGGGTGATAAGGCGCTTCAAGTTCAGGGATAAAACAGAAAAATATCCAGAATCTTAGAAGCAAAAATTGCATCATTGTTCGCTTGGCAACATCCCGTCTTGTACATTCCAAGACAAGGTTTCCACCTCCATGATAGTTCAGTGCTATTATTGCTTCTTTTTTTCAAAAAGTAGTTGAACACCGGTATGCCAGCCGTCGTTAACGACTCCACAACAAACGCTGTATTTCATATTTTCGTTCGTGGCTGCCTGAATAAAGGGTTTTTCAATGAGGATGCGTTAATGCTGATATGCAATAAAACAAGTTGTGTATGATGATGTATAACTAGATCCCTTTTTATTTGAAATTCTAATGTATGGGAACTGTTATGAAATATGGAATTTGACGGGAGTCATCTGTTCCCAGTGGCACCAAATCAAGGAGTTCAAATTTTAGTAACCCTACTGCGTGTCACCAACATACTTTTCAAACAATTAAAAAAAAATATATTGACTTCAGAGTTCCCACGCATTCGAAACGGCTTCTAAGGCAAATTTTAATGTACCTCATGTATGAATATAAATTCTTATGTGAAATCTCGAACCCGACACAAATCTGTCAAAAATGTAGTTAGTATTTGAATTCACAAACTTGACCTCCAAATAACCTTTGAGGTCATTCTCTAGGTCATCTTTGAAGCTGATCGACAAGTTGCTTTTTCGATATCCGTAAAGTTTTCTTAGAACCTTCGTTCCAAAAAACATTATCCGAAACTTCGTCAATCATGGTTGCATCGACTCTTGTCGAAATGAAGCATGTCAACGGGAGAATGGTGACAAAGAAGAAAGTGTTCCAGATGACAAGATTGAGGGGGACGAGGCTGTCTGTGGTTATGACGCAGGGACGGTTCAGAGAGAGGATCCACAACCTTGTTCGAGTAGTACCATATCAGAAGTCGGTGTCCCGATCAGTAAAATCAAGCGTCTTTTGAAGAAGTATGGCTACAAGCCATTTAAATACTAATAAAATGCAGGAGATTTTTCCCGCTGATCATACCAGGAGAATGGCTTGTGATGCCATGAGAGAAATGATTGACAACGATGATCGATTTCTCAGAAACATATTGTTTTCGGACGAATCCAACTTTTCTCTCCATGGACATCATAATCCCTAGAATCTTAGGTGTTGGTCAAGGGAAAAGAAATATTTATGTTTGCCATTAAGGATGCAAGATCCTCAAAAAGTTAATGTTTTGGAGGGTACCAATCTTGATGATATTTGGTTTCAAGAAGATGGCTGACCTGCTTACAACGCGAAGGAGGTTCGGGGATTTTTGGACCCCTGATCTCTACACATGGCAATATACAATAGCCAGCAAGATCTCCTGTCTTGGCGCTTAATGATTTATGGTATGGAATCACACGTATTTCTGCCGCGAAACAGCATAGTGTTTTCTATGCCCTGATACCACTACCACGGTACCACGCCTGCCCAAGTTACGTATCGGGGAGAGGTGACGTTTACAAATGCACTACCGACAGGATAAGGAAAGAATATCTATGGACTAATTGTATGCACCTGTTTGACTGACCTTTTTCTCAGAGGGGTCTAGTTTGTGCAGAACATATCCCTTTATGTCGTGATAAGGGCTTTGCGTGGGAAGTACAAAGTCAATCTACTTGATGCCTTTATTTTTGTGTCGCGGTGAATATACCCCAAAAATAACCCGAATATTGCAGTCGGCGGAGCTTGTCTAGTACACATTTCTGCCTCTTGAGGCGTACAGCGCAACTCATTACCAGTTCAGTGCCACCTGAGTTGTCGATCTGGCTTGTTTCGTTGATCTGTAGTCATTATTTTTGCTAGAGCTGTTTCGTGCTTGTTTCGTTTTTTACGATGGCAAGCATCAGTGAGCAACGTGCAGCTGTGAAATTTTGCTTTCTAATTGGTAAAAATGGGTGTACGAGTGGTTTGCTCGATTTAAAAATAGCGACATGTCGATTGATGACAAACCTCGCTCTATGCGTCCGTCAACTGCCCGAATCGACGAAAATGTTGAAAAAATTCGAGAGCTTGTGCTATTTGAAGGTTTTAAAATAGGTTCTTCCATCACGATAATGCACCTCCACACACAGCCATCTCTATTCGACAGTTTCTGGCTAAAAATGGTATGGTTCCTCTGCCTCACGCACCTTATTCGCCTGACCTCGCTCCGTGCGGCTTTTTCTTATTTCCACGGATGAAAAGGGGCATGAAAGGACACCGCTTTGACGACATTGAAGAGGTCAAGAAAAATAAGGAAGACTTCAAAAAATGTTTCGAGCAGCGGAAGCAGCGGTGGGACAAGTGTATTAGTTGTAGTGGACAGTATTTTGAACGAGATAAGGTTACTTTGTGAAAAAGTTGAAAATAAATAGCTTTTAAAAAATAATTCCGTTTTTTTTTTTGGTATCCCCGCGTACATCTATGTGATTGTCCAAATAATAAATTTTAGACCTTTCTACGACAAAGAAAATAAGGAAAAATCAGAAGTATGTTTAAACACTTAGTAATGCAATTTTGTTTTACTCTTTATTTGAGAACACACATCAATTTTTGCTACACGTATCAATATGATTCAAAACTGATCAATATGTCTGGTGCAGAACAAAAACAATCATTATACAACTATTTAACGCACTGAGCTCCACAGAGTCGCTACCAAATACTAACTCTTCATATTGTTTCAGACGAAAGAAACAAATTTTACGGTGCTAGCTTTTGACACCGGTGTGCCTCAACTGAACGTCTCAGCAACGGTGCTTGTGAAGATTATTAATCTGAACGACAACGATCCGGTATTCTCCGAAAGTCAATACAATATATCCATCGATGAAAATTCGCGTAACGGTACTTTCGTTGTTGCTGTAAAAGCTACTGATAAGGATGCAGACGAATACGGACAGATAAGTTACGTGCTGACAGGAGAACACAGCGAATGTTTCGCTATTGATAATGCTACAGGTAATATATGCAGGCTATTTCAGAGTATGTTGGTATGATATTGAATGAGAAAAATATTATAATACGAATGTTTCCTACAAACCTAGGTCCTGAAATACTCCTTTCAGTTTTGAAAGAAGGCATTTTGTTACTGGTACACTCCATGCAATTTGCAATATCAAACTTTACGGACATCAACATGTCTCTCGAGTAGAGCTAACTGAAAATTTTCATTCTCAAATATTCAACTATGTATTATCTTCAAAAGAGCTGATGTGACAAATAAATCCCAACGGAGACAATCCACATCAAACCTTATTCAAAAATAAATGTGTTTAAAGACAATTTGTTAGAAACTATTTTTATTTCTAAATCTGTATGAATCAAAGTCTCATAGTTTCTACGCTCACGAGAAGGTTTATGTCACAAATGTTGCTCACAATGTTCGCACTGTTTGTAAATCGACGGGTCAATAAATAACAACTTGTAAAGGGACATATAGTGCCGCACTTAGGTAAAAGGCATTGAGCTTCAATCACTGACTTTTTTTAAATTTTGATACCAATATGTTTCTTTTATGATAAAAGCGTAGATCAATTTATCGGAGTAAAAAGGCAGTAGTTTTCAAACTACACTGCTTTTATTCTCTGTATGATACATGTACTGCCTTTTTACCCTTTATTAGGTACCTATTAGATTTTATTATCGACTGAGAAAAAACGAGGTCTTTATTTTACTGTTCTTATCAGTTATGTCGTTGACATTTCAGAATAAGACACTGTTGTTATCGTTATGAAACTATTTTTGCTCAAAAAGATTAATTTTGAAAAATATTCTTCATTTAATTGAACATATAATAAAACAGGCTGTTTCTAATTTATTTATATAATTACTTTGTTGAACATAATTATTGAATGTAATTATATAATTATTAGATTGAATTAATAAGTATTGAAAAGATTCAGTCTTGTGCTATTTATGTGAATTTAAATATGAATAAATTATATTAAATATAATAAAATAAAATTCTTATTTTGCATTACTGCGTGTTTCGTTTGAAAAAGTAATATAAATAAATTATGAAATCTACGAAAAAGGCAATAAAGTTTTACACAGTATGAAAGCAGTAAATCACATGTTTCTGCTTTTTGATTTACGACATTTACTGTAAGCCTCGACAACAATTATGATTCAAAAGCATATTCAAATGACTTTTTATGAATGCATGTAATAATTCACTTTGGTTGTCATAATAATACCATTTATTTGTATGTTAATTTTATCAGACATCAATTTTTACACTTTACTTCCTTTTACCTAAGTACGGCAGTATATTGTCAGATATCATTTGCGAAGAAAACTAAGCTTCTTGTTTTCCATTCAACCCATTGATCTATTATTTGATTTGTTTCTTAAAACGGCATACTTTGCGATGTTTAACGGGCTAGGAGGTATTATCTTTCATCTGAGGCCAAGTTCTCTGACTCTATTTTTGAGACTAACATTTCTCCATCACTCAAATTTAGAGGCTTGTGGGAGTTGGTAGGAACAAATTTAAACACCAAATTTTTCAACCTTCCTTGGGATGACTGTTAAGATTATTCGAAACACCATCTGTCATAAGTGTATATCATACATCTAATACTTCCTGGTATATTTCAGTTATCATAATACTACATTTTCCGATTGAATTTGATAAGATATCAGACGTAAGTAAGACCAATCTACTAACCATTAGGAGATTTTAATCTGATTTAATAATGGTCAGTTAAGAATTGTAAACCTTGTGCTGTTAATATAGTCATGAAGCTTCCCTATGCAGAAGATGACAACTAAGCATTCACGCTAAGTATAAGTTCATTCTGTTCTAGACAATGATCTGCTACAATATTCTTACCAGTTGTTATCCATCTAATGTCTGTGTACTTGCTTAAAATCGCCGAAGAATGAATGTTCGTCTTTAGAGGTCAATCTAAGCTCCTGTTTCTCTTGTTTTTTATCGAAGAAAAATACTGATGGGTGACAAAATGGTGGAAAAATGGTTTATGAATCTCCCATACCGTTTAACTTCAGTAGTAGTCTGCCTGAATGTTTTGTTCGGGTCATTCGAAAATATCTATTTAATGCATCGCAACATTCTATCAGTGTTTGAATGGCGATATGAGTCGTAATACTTCAAATTAAAACAGATGCGATAGTCTTTATTTCCACGCTTAACGGGTAAGAGTGGGAAACACCAGAACTATTGTGAGAGTTCAAGAATCTCATTCAATTATTTATCGGTCTTAAGGATATACGAAGGTAAAAAGCAGTGTTGTTTCTTATCCTTATACTTTTCCACCGTATAGGTTACGTTACGGTGGCTGACTCCAACTTCCTTGATCACGAGACAGTGAACCAGGCAGTGATCCAAGTGGTAGCCTTCGACGGGGCCCCGGGCAACATTCGACGATCAACCTCGGTTCCCATCTACATCACCATCAACGATTTGAACGACAACGCGCCCGTTTTTACAGAAAAAGTGTACAACGCAACCGTCATGGAAAACGTTAGGATGAATCCTCCCATGCCTATCCTCACTGTGAATGCCACCGACAAGGACTCGGGAGTACATGGGAATATACATTATAGTATCGTATCGGGAAATGATAATGGTAAGAAAATTATAATCATATGGACTCATTTCATCGCAGTTAGATCTGCTCTGAGTCGGCATTTTCCATGTGAACTGCAAATTAACAGAGTACCGTGAAAATATTTGAAAATGAATCGCACAGTCTCACACAACCTTCATCATAAGGTATTGGCTTGGCAACACGGTAAGGTTCTTGTAATAAACCTAGAAATTCAATTATCATCCTAGCTCGGATTATGCACAACCTGCATAAGCATAAAATATTATGACATGTTGCTATTAGGGAAGCGGTATTCTTCTTGTTGGTCGAATGAGAAAATACGTCTATTTGCACAGTCTAGATGCATTCAAAAAATATGGTTTCATTGATATTGACTTTTATTTCTGCCGTTACTTTAAGGAAAAATAAAAAGCTCCTTATCATTTGGAAATTTTCAAGTTCAACAAGCTCATGTCAAATGTCGTATTAACCGAAACCACTCTTCCAGACAGAGCAAATAGCTGAGTAGAACCGATACCCCATTATACAGACTTAAATTACCTACATCTTAGGAACCGTTGAGTTGTCTTGCTTGTGATCAGTAAGATATTTGTTCAGGACGCTGGGACACGTAACACATAAAAAAAAATCAGCAAAACCACTCTTCTACTTAATCATATATTCGAATAGAATTGATACCCACTTAGGCTGCCTCTATTTTTGGATCTATTGTGTCTTGGAGATTTATGCTCTGCGAGACGTTTGTTCGGGATTCCGAGATATAAACATGACATTTCACAAGTTCAGCGAAATTAACCGAAACCGCTTTTCCAGATAGAGCAGATAGCTGAGTAGAACCCATCGACTACTAAACATCTAGACACAGCTAGACGCGAAAATCTACGACAACGCCTTATTCGAACATGCTTTTGAGCATTTGAACATTGTTTATTTAGAGCCGTTTTACACACAAGAGAATTACTCCGAAAATTATGGTCATAATTATGCCGAAAATTTGCATGGAAAAAATATTGAAGATTTCCTCTACAACCCGTATGACACAAGCAAACAAAATTTCCTAGTAATTCATATGATACGCCTGCGCATTAGAGTAATATTTTCGAACGGACATAACCTTAACGGGTATGACGCCCAATATAATCGGAAAGACAACAGACGTCGTTGATTTAAATTTATTTTTGAAATCGAGATCTTGGTTAATATTATAAAACTTCTCAATGCTTGGACTATCGCATCCAGAGCCTGACGCCGCAAATTTCTGTTTTTGTAATTGGGCGACTTCACCTTGTACAGGTTTGGCCATTTTTGGTACTCTTCCAACAACAGTGTAACTTCTTCCCGATTCCACGACATTATGAACAAACAATAACAATGAGCGCTTCTTCGTACGACTCGAACAGGACCACACCCACAAATGTTAAGTGAGGTTATGTTGTTGACGTTGACATTTGATAATGACATGCACGGAAAGAACCCTCTGCGCCGATTCTCGCGCATATTCTATAGAACGGGTTTTATATTTTTACCATGAAAATTTTCATGAGAATTCTCTTACGTGTAATACGACAGCAAACATTTTCGGCATAATTGTGACCATAATTTTCGGAGTAATTCTCTTGTATCTAAAACGGCTCTTAGAAGATTAATCGACTGTAAATTGACAAAAGAAACATTTCGTTCACCAACCGTTTCGCGGAGAACGAAGCGCGCATTATTTTGCCGAATATCGAACAGCCGATGAAAATTACGAACTTGCAGATTGATCCGGCAACACCGCTACAATCATAGTACAACGTACGTAGGCTACACCCAGTGCCGCATGCTCCGCTGTTCGATTTTTCTCCGCCCGCGCGCATGACGCCACGCGGAGAGTGATTATCATTTGGGTTGATATGGATAACGTTGCATATTTTCACCTACAGGTCAAACGGATGGACGGATTTTCACATATGAGGTGTCGTTGGATACGTCTTAGCGGTGCGAGTGACACTAGCTACATTGAAATTTTATAAAAAACAAAATGGTGGATTTTAATAAAAGATTTCAACCTTGTAATTCCTACTTCATAGGCTACAGATCAAACGGCTTGATAGATTTTCACATATGAGGTGTCGTTGGATTCGTCTTAGCAAGGCGAGTGACACTAGTTACATTAAAATTTTATACAAAACAAAATGGTGGATTTTAATAAAAGATTTCAACCCTGTAATTCCTATTTCACAGGCTATAGCTTAAACGGCTTCTAGCTCCACAATAGAGCGTATCGTCTCTTAACTGTAAAAACAAGACAACACCATGTTTCTACATTACCTATATTTTAGTATGTTCTGTAGAGCAGGATTAACATGTTCATGTCATAATACTGTACTACATTTATCCTTATTCCACATAACATCCTAAGTACATGTAAGTATGAAAATATACGCAATTCGAAAAGTAGAAAAATGGAATTATCTTCTTTTTGCAGTAAGGTGGTGATATAACAATAAATCGAAATGAATTAGTCTAAGCAACATTTTTTTTTCCATTTCCTTTTACGATTTTTCTGGTCTTTCAAACTTCTATTCAGTTCTTTGATTCGGAAGAACATCCTTGACTTGAAAAACAGTTTTTTAGCTTCTTCGGGGCAGTCAATATTGCTGCTCTTCAACAGAAGTTCACCTATAAAATTTTGCTTTTTTTGTCACTATTCCGTCTCCATTGAATGTAGTGAATACCCTGTTCAGCTTCTCAGTTTGATTCATGAAAGTTGCGGAAGGTTTTGATAATCCACCCTCACTAAGATGGTCTATCCATGAATAAGTGTCATTTGAGGAACTTTTCAACCTCTCATCCTGCAATTTATTGCAAACAAAGCCGGCCAAATTTTCCAGCCCGTCATACTCGAGCTCATCTATTTCTTCCACTAAAACTTGCTCGGTATAGTCAGCTGATACTTCATGTGCATTCAGTTTATTCTCGTTAATGATGCAGTTAGAGGTTAGTGGAATGTCTGGAGTATCCTCTGACTCTAAGCTATATATAATAGGTACTCTGAGTATGCGCCTTCGTTTCGCCCCAACATATATGACCTTATTCTATACTTAAACTCTAGAGGACTTGTATGGTCATGAAGACCATATTTTGCCCTAATTACTCCGAAAAAGTTTTCTATCACATCTTGATTAAGGCATCTTGTTAACAGGTATTGGCCGCCGAAGCGTCGTTTCAGATCCTCTAGAGCAGGGCTGTCCATCTTGATGTGGCCCAAGGGCAAAAAAAATGCAGTTTGGAGGGCCGCATTATAAAATCTTTCTATACAACATTGTTACTGAGTTTTAATAATCATATACTATACTATATGGTATAAAAAAATAGTTTCTCTATTATTTTTATTTATTAAAAAAATATGAAATTACAAAAAAATCAGTGAGACATTTGAGGATGTTGGTTTTCTAATACTAATGCATCAATATTAACATTAATATTTGTTGTTGATAAACGAAGTAACTGAGTAACTGACTTATCAGAGAGGGAACGTCTATACTTTCACTTGATAAATTTCATGTTGGAAAAGCTGCTTTCGCAAAGATACGTGCTTCCCATCATTGATTCTATTGTAAGTCCTAAGTTTCGCAAGTTGGGGTATCGTTCTCCTGGCAGTAACTTAAAACAGTCCAAGCCAGCTCAGTTCTTCCTTGGTAAAAAGGATCTGATTGCAAATCACACAATTCCAGTTGAAGCTCTGCTCTGCTTACGTTCTCAAGAAAAATTGTTAGTGGCTGAGTAAAAACTGAAATGTCGCTTTCAATTTTTTTAAAGTCACTAAATCGATTTTTGAATTCTTCTGCAATTGTGTCAATGTATTTTATATGAGGTAAATATGAAACTTCCTCAAAATCCTTAATTTCTTCGAAATGTTGTTTACAAGTTGGAAAAAATGAAAAATCATTTTTTTGTAATGAAGACTTGAAAAGCTTAATTTTATTCTTAAACCCATTTACGTGTCCAAATAATTTGGCAATATTCTGCTGTTTTCCTTGTAGCTTCAAATTCAATTCGTTAAGGTGAGATGTCATGTCTGTTAAAAATGCAAGGTCTGCTAAAAATTGTGCATCTGCCATTTGATTTTCCAGTTCCGTAGTGTCGGACTTCATTTTTAAGGAAAATAGGAATTTCCTTGCGTAGAGCGAAAAATCGTTGCAAACACTTTTCGGCGCTTAACCAACGAACATCGGTGTGAAGTAACAAGTCCTCTTATGTAGCATCCACTTAGGCCCAAAAATCACGAAACTTTCTGTGAGTCAAAGCACGATTGCCCCCTCTAACAATATTAGTTATTTTAACAGTCACTTTCATGACATTTATTTGACGTAAAGATTTTCCACATAAGCTCTCTTGGTGAACAATACAATGTATCATAGGACAGTTGATGCTGTTTTGTTTCAATAGTCCTGAAAATCCAATTTCAGTCCCTGTCATAGCTCTGGCGCCATCAGTGACAATACAGGAACATTTATCAAATCCCCCGTAGTCTGACACCAACTTATTCACAGCTTCAAAAATATCTGTACCCTTGGTTGTACCATGGAGAGGAATAAGGTCAAGCATCTCCTCTGCTACACTGAAGTCGTCTTGAATAGTTCGGATAAAAATTACAAGCTGGCTAATGTCAGACAGATCAGTGCTTTCATCCAGGCATAGCGAAAAATATTTACACTTTTCAACCACGTCACGCAATTTTTTGGATACATGTTCATTGATATGGTCCACCCCACCCGTCTTGCAATTGTTTGATGCGATACTGAGACTGTTTCAAATTTTTCGGCAACTTTTAATTCATTGAATTGTTTCGCCATTTCTATTGCACACTTTTTGATAAGCAATCCATCACTAAAAGGTTTTTTTGCTTTGGCAATTTCCAGCGCTATTTTGGAAGAGGCGGCAATACTGCACTTGTTATCAGAGTCAGATTTTTTGAAAAAACTTTGTGTTTGTTGTTTTAGTTTTTTCTTGTATTCCGTTATGTATTATCCTCGAGTCCCCTAGATATTGCCGAAACGTTTTCTCGTGTAACGTAGTGTAATTCCGTTTCATATTATAATCTTTAGGAACCGAAACAATGCACTGAAGTTTATTATTATTGTTTGAGATTGAATATTCTGATTCCCAACGGTCATTATAAACTCGATGTTCGTTCGTTATTTTTCGTTTCTGTGAAGACATATTTCACTGAGTATTTCACTTAAAAAGGCTTTAGAGTTGCTGTGCACTGAAACGCACTAGCACTAGAACAAAACTGCCTGTCCCGCTTGATTCAACCTTCTTATATACGCGCCCGTGGCTTCTCGAATATTCGGGGATGATCGAGAGATCGGTCCAATTTCCAGTAAATTCGCTGCGGCCTGCTATCGGTCTCCAGTGGCGTCAAATGTTATTGTATTTTATCGTTAATGTAAGAATTGTGCATATTCGGTATTTGAGACCCGTGAAGCGGGCCGCAAGAAAGGAGTTCGCGGACCGCATGCGGCCCGCGGACCGTATGTTGGACAGCCCTGCTCTAGAGCATTTTCTAGCAAACCCTAGCGCTTTTTACATTGACTTTGTCTTATCTTTTTGTAAGATGTAGCCATTTTTTTTGCTAAAGTTTGGGTCTTGAGGGAAACTGTGGAACTTCATGTCTTTGCAAAGATTCCAGTTAGATTGATTGTCGGAATTACATCCCACAACAGCACACCGCATTTTTATCAATTTATCAACCTCACAGAGTATATAAGGTATGTAAAACTAATACAACAAGTCACAAAACCACCAAAAAACACCAACAAATCGCAATATATAGTATTAACCACGATACACGTGAACTGCAGTAACGTTACGACAATCCTGCCGCTGGTAACCACGAGCCGATAACTCTCCGGGTGACGTCACGAAGCTCCACCCACATGCGCAATATCCTATCTTCAATGTATGTGTATCGTGGGCTACACATTCCTATCTGGAAAATAACTGCCATTTCGACGTTACAAATCATACTTGAGCGCGCTTTCATTTGCATGCTGGAATACGGTTAGTGGTGTTTTTGTGTTATTCATCAATTTTTATCAAAATCAGCAATAGTTAGAGTGTGCGGTGATTGTACACTTAACATAACCACATATTTGGGGATTATTGCAGGTTTAACATATACACAACAGTGTAATATGTAATTCTGCACAAAAAAAATCTTGGATGCAGCACTTTTTTCCAATACATCGACATCAAATACAAAACATGTGACGTTGGTGAATAGACACTATGAAATATGATAATGAAAATAAGAGAATTAAAGAAGCTTATTTACTATAGGCAGACTATACTGAGGTCCATTACTTTGGACCCTCAGGACGTAAAGGAGCTTGGACTCAAGGCGATTCTCAACTTCGCTAAAAGGGCGAGGCTTGTGATTTAAGTATTGTAGAGGTGCATAAGGGCCCGCTTAAGCGGCCTATGCACTGGCTCCTTATGGTGGCCGGGATGCCTCTAAAATTCAAGATTCATTCATTCAAAGAAGCTTATTTGCTAACATTGAGTGAATAAATAATAATCAAAACAGTATCTTGTAGAAATGATAGGGAAAACACAACAAATGGATAAACTAAAATATAATTGTGTGAAATTAACAAAAATAGGCTAATAAATAAACTAAAACAATATTTTCTGAAATAACATAAACAATAAATAATCAAAAACAACAATCAGTAACTTAAACAGTATTTTCTAAAACAACATGATAAAGATCAAATGAACTAAGAATTGAGTGCAGAGCTGTAAAAATTCGCATCGATTCCATCCTGTGATCGATAATCGATATCATGTGCTTAATTCTCCAGCATCACTTGATTCGTGTCAAGGTATTGCTGGAAACAAATTTCCATATGAAAAGTGTTTCATCCATGATTTTTGTTGTGCAGAATTACATATTGCACTGTAGTGTTCACATTAAACCTCCAAAGGCCCCTAAATATATGGTTATGTTAAGTGTACCATCACCGAGTGTGCTATTTGTGTAAAGTGTGTGATTACCAACCCGGTGCCGAACAATTAACGTTTCACAGGTGAGTATACACTGGCAACAGGGAATTGCAAGACGCCATTACGGCGTCAAGACGTATTTTAATGCTGTTGTTTTAATTTCTATATGATATTAATCGAAAGGTCTATACTATTGATCTTGTCCTATAATTCAATTTTTGAAGCCTAACTTTGAGAATGTATGTACGGTCCTACAAAATGATTCATTTTACGAATAATTGTATTTTGTAAAGAACCAAGAGTGATCTTGAATCAAAGAAAATTCTATATAACCGGCTTGTTCAAAACACTATTTCAATCTTAACTAATAACATAGAGAAATATCGGTTGCGTAAAAGTTCATGCTAATGTATAATCCATCACTTCTTATGATGTAAATGTCAATTTGAAATTTCTAATAATAATGATTCTAGCGTTATTTTTATCCAAAAGCTACACGTACATGTGATAAGGTTAATCACAATTTCTACACAATTTCAAAAAATATTATTTATGTGGTGTTATTATTTTTAGGATACCTTCAAAGAAGTCAATGTTGGTTGTCTGGTTTGGGTTATATTTCAGACCATAAATTCAAAAAACTGCCAGAAATATGCTCAAAACACTTCAATGAGATTTATTAGGTGTATGGAAAAGATTGGTCCAGACTCCTGAAAAGGGATGCTGTATCGATTAAGATGCATGCAGCGTTAAATCTCTCTGGTTCAGTAAGTTTCAGGTGTATATTTGAATATAAAACATCTTGTTTTACACAAATCTTTGTGGTTGTGATTTTTGATGACATTTTTGATGGTATGGAAATATTTTCCATCATGTTTCCTGGGTGGCAAACATTCTTTCATGAAACATTGTCATATAAATACATTTCAATTGTTTCACTATGAAAAACTGAAATATGAGAAAATCTATATTTAATATGTTATGGTCAGGATCACCTGATGATTGGTTGTTTTTAAGTTCTCTTTCAACTGATGACACACCAGAGAAGGAAGATTGTGTAGGAATTACATCAGCAGAGTCCAGTTGTAGCAAAACTATACGCGATGACAATAGCTCAGCCAGGAAACGGTTAGTTTTTAAAAACATTTGATGCTCATACGAAAACTTAATCAAGATAAAAACTCTTATTCTGTAGTTTTCAAGCTTGTAGGACATGCTGAAAACAATATCTGTGATGAAACAACATTACATTTAATTCTGTGTTTATGTAATTTAATTGATTCAAAATATCGCTTTTGTATATACCCTGAGAAGTATTTACCAATATTTTTAATACGATTTCATTTTGTATTGATTAGATATATTCCTATCTCCCTAATATGTATTCATATCTACTTAAGCGAAATATTCGACCGCTTTTGTATGTTCATGTTCACTTGTATTTATTATTTATTTGCCTTATATATATAAAATATTTTGTAACTAAATTATTATGTATAAAATTGTATATTCCGAAGACATGTATATCAATAAAATACATTTTTATATTTTCCTGCACAACATTATACAGACTATTTTTACAGCATCCTGTTTACAGTCCAACATGAACATTATTTTTTAAAGCATTTGCATTTCCCTGAACTTCCCCTCGACTGCGTTTATCAATTGGAGGGCGTTATGCATAATTTTACCAGATGACATAAAATTTTCAGGCAAATGACAAAACTTTAACAATCGATTAAACATCAGGGTCGTTTAAGCTGTTTTTTTCTGTGAACAGGTTCAGGTATTATAACTTTATGTTGTAATAAGTTTTTTCGAAAACTCTCATTTCTGAGACCTAATGAAATAAGATGACAGCCAGACCTGAAAATTTATCAAATGACGGTTGATCAAGTTATGCATAACGCCATCCAATTAATGCAACTTCTGTAACCAATGATTACCTTTTTATGCTTAATCGCATCCTCCTTGACCAATCTTTAAATCAACGATGTATGCTGGGTAAATATTTCTTACTTGCGTTTTGATTACTACACTACTTTTTCAAAGTATATATTATATAGTTTTGCTATATAATCCATTATATAGTTTTAATTATGAGAAAATCATATTTGCTGCTTTAATTCTCTTGTATAACAATTTGACATTTTGACACATGAGCTGATACTACGACTCTCATTATTAATGTCTGCGGTACAAATCTTTGTGGTACGCCTATGGTAAAAACAATCACAGCAATGTTGCTAAATCTCTGCAAGTAGCAGATTTTCGGTCAACAATTTTCGAGATCCCCTTACGTCTCTGTGCCCCTCGCCACTACTTGATGTGGTCACCCATTTTATTGGCAATTCATGGATGAGTTGCAAGGTCTAGCTGTGTTTAGTAGTCAATGGTAAAATCCATATCCTATTATACCTAGTTAAACGTCATATATCTTAGAACACGTTGAGTTTTGGGCTTTGTACCCTTTGCGAAATTTGTTCAGTATGACAAGATACATGAGTTTTTTACAAATTCAGTCATATTAACCAAAACCACTCTTTTGGATAACGCAGATATCTGAATAAAACTGACACCCGATTATACTGATTTGGACGGCCCATATCTTGAAACCCGTTAAGTGTAGGGGCCTGGGCCTATTGAGATATTTGTTAAGGATACCAAGATGCATAACAAATTTCAGCCAAATTAACCGAAACCACTCTCCCACATAAAGCCGATATTCGATTACAACCGATACCCCATTATACTTAGACTGCCTTTATCTTAAAACTCGTTGAGTTTTGGGGATGATGCCCTCTAAGACATTTGTTCAGGACGTCAAGATACACGAGATTTCACAAATTCAGTCATATTAACCGAAACCATTCTTCTAGATAGAGATAGCAATACCGAAACCTCATTATACTAATTTGGACGGGTTATATCTTAGTACTCGTTGAATTTGAAGCCCTGTTAAGGCCGCCAAAACACATAATGTATAATTATATATATAATAAAATTCAGCGAAATTAACCGAAATCGCTTTTTTCAAAGGCGTGTTGCGTAGCTTTTTGGCTCACTAATGTGGAACCAAAGTTTTAAGGGTCCCCAGGAAACGTTATGAAAACAAAAGTCGAAAAAAGCTCAATATCATTTATTCATTTCTTCCAGATGTTTTTCTTCTGGGTATGGAGACGGGCATCTTATACCCACACAAATCCCTACTGGGACAAACGAGAGAGTTTCATTTAATAGTCGAAGCAAGAGATGACGATGGCAATGGAAAAATGTTCGACAGGGCGACCATCAACGTCCATGTTCTCAATGTTAACGAACACAAACCAGAATTCATCATGCCTTCAACTGCAAATGTAACCGTGGAAGTCTTGGAGGTAACAGAAAACTAATACATATCTTATACTCGAAAATCGTAGCAGAACTACCTATTTATAGTTACAGGTCTTCTAACCGTAGAATAATGTAGAACAGGAACAGTTAACCTTTCATGTCCCCTATGGATAACGTTGCCAGATATCACAATTTGCGTGGGACGTACCGATTTCCAGGGGTTTGGACACGCGTCCCTATATGCACATGATCGGGCACTAAATGTCATGATAAAAACATCGATCCATCACTTTTCATTGAAAAAAATTACTTTTATCACTATTTCCGTTCTTGCTCATTTGTAGTTTATGAACAACAACGAAGGAGCTGTCCTTCTCTCAAGCCCCACCAAATTAAATGAAGATAATTTTTTTATAAAAATCAACTATAACAAAGTTGTACATGAGAAATTACTAGGATTAGTTGAAATCTACGCTGAATTTTGATTCAACTTTGCTGAATGCACTCTATAGATATATATGCACTGGAGATTTTAAATTCGGAAACGGTAAGCAATACAATACAAAGTCGTTTATGAAAGCAAAGTTGCCCATTTAGATAACTAATAAAATGTTACTAGATAGTGTGCCAATTCGGAGTATTTATGGAGAGGCAGAAAATACGAATCTACCCTGAACCGTTTTCATTTTCTTTTGGCTTAATTTGATCTGGGATTTCAATATAAATTGCATTAACAGTGGCACTTTTTCAAGGCTTGTTCAAGTAACTGTTAGTATGTTAGTTCGTTAGTATGCATACATGTGTAGGGCAAATCTTGAAACTCAATTTTGAACTGAGCTGAAACTTTGTATGCCTGTTTGGTTCGTATGACAATACATAATGAATTAACTGCTGCTCTTGTGAATCTAATATGGCGTATGCTAAATAATTTGTCATTTCGATAGTACATGATATGAGTATCAAATAAAGAACTTGATGAGATAAGCAAACTGACGTCATTTTAAATCCAAAATGAAGAAGGCCACAATTTGACGATTTATAATTTCCATAGGCACGTCTATAGTATGGACATCAGATGAAAGGGATTGAGAGAAACATAATTAGCAGTGTCCTCAATTCAAATCAAATATGTTGACCGACTCAAAATGGTGTTTATAACATCTATAATTACCTCTTTGATATGGTTATCGACTGAAAGGGCTTGATGAGAGAGATACAGTAAGCAACGTGACGTCATTCTAGATCTAATATCGCGGCCCCCGCAAAATATCGATTTAGAATCTCCATAGTCACCCCCATATTAACCTCGATAGCATTAAATGTTTATTGAAAATTTTTAAAAAATGTTTGTTAAATATTTGTAGCGACAGATTTTTTAATATCTAATAAATATATTTTTTATATATTTATAAAATATTCATTACAGATGTTTGTAGGATATATAATGCATATATTTTTGTGATATTTTTCCAAATATTTAGAAAATATATGAGGAAAGATTTTTAAATATCAATTTTATATTTTGATGACATATCTAATATTTTTCGTAAATATGTATGGATTTTCAAACATTAATCTGATACATCTCAGCGTACATAGAAAATTCTTCATTGGTTATTTTAGCAAAACCTGTAGGAATCCTTATATAAAATTGGGTTTTCTAAAGAAAATTCATTCTAGAAATAATGATTTAATTTGCTAGAAAAATATTCTAAGCCTCTTCTGCATCTTGTAAGTCCACTCCTCTGAAAAAAAAAACAAACTTACTAATTATGAAGTATTATTGAATACATAAGCTGCTTTCCAGTGTATTTATTTGTGCTGAGCATGGTGAGTTACTCCGAGTAGCTCAACTGGGTCACTGAAAAGCACCTAAAAGGACCCCACATGTTATGCCTATGATAGTTCGAGAACATAACACTTATTGAGTTCGTTGAAATGTGACTGTTTTTTAGTAAGTGAGCTAACTTAGCCATAACTATTTAGTGATTTTATATTATAATTCAAGGGACAAAAGTATACTATTTTCGACTGTTAAAATTTTTGATGTATCTCGATCAAGTTGCGATTATATGTCTTTTCATTGGGATGTTATGAACATAATTTTCGTATCCATTCTCAGATAAATCTACCAATACCAAATAACTGTTACACTTCAAGGCTAGTTATTTATGGTCTTATGAATATCTTTATATTCAGCTGGCACAATAATGTTTACTAGTCAGATAAATTAAGCTATGTAATTATCGAAAAATTTACCCTTTTCCACAAAAAAAAACACTCAAATAATGAACCACTTGGAGGTACACAGGAAGCACGCTATCATAGTGAAAGTCACAGGTAAAATGGCTGCCGGCAAACAGTCGCCTCATTCCGACTTGCTATTATCCCATTGGTCGCTCGAGGTCACACGCACATGCGCCGTAGCCGAAAATATTTAATGAATATTTTCTAATTATTGGAGATTTAATATTTTCCATTGATTGAAAAGTAAATATTTAATGAATATTATAAAAGAAATATTGTATTTAAAATATTTAAAAGATATTGAATAAATATTTAATAAAAATATTATATTACAAATATTTATTAAATATTTCTTTAAGAAAACAAATATTTAAGTAAGATAAAAATATTATTAAATATTGAATAAATATTTAATGAATATTTCGTGCTATCTGGGAAGGATATCAAATGAGCGGGAATGATGAAAGAAACACAATAAGCAAAGTGACGTAATTCTAATCCATATAGCGGACGTTAAATATGACAATTGATATTACAATATAATTATGACATGGATATGATCTGATGATGAAGCCAGGAAGTGGCCATGGTAACCCATTGAATAAAGTCTCGCTTGATTCCTAATGACAAGTCTGATGATTAAGATCGTCAGCTATTATATAAAAAATACTTATCTATACAAATTATATCAAATTTCAACTTGTCAATTGGGCGAGAATACCTAATAGATGGTACGGCTCCCACATTTACAAGAATTTGTTGCATTTGCATTTGAGCTTAAAATATGCATACATATAAATAATTATTTTTGCTTACATCAATAAAACAGTAACAAAGACCGTTTCTTTTTCACACACAAATTTTAATAAAATTCGTTTTCTTTTATGGCTCTAATGCCGCTATTGAACGCGGCAACGGAATGGCTATTTTCCAAGACTAACCTAATTTGGTCTGAGAAGCGAAACCGTTTGACACTTGAGCATGTAAAAGCAGAAACTCAAATTAAAACAAACTTTAGTATGACCTGCAGTGAAGATAGCAAAATCTAACGCAAAATGTAATTTTATTAAAAAATAAATTTTTCAAACTTATAAACCATGTTAATGACTAATACATAAACTGTATCAGCTACGAAACACAATTAAGTAAACCTTCATCTAAAAAAATGTTGTCTTTTTTGTCTGTCCCGATCCACAACTTTAAATCCCTATTTGTTTTATCTTCTGCCCCGATTTTAAACCCATCGGGCTTGGCAACACTGCCTATGAGTGCAAAATACTACACCACAAGATGACAATACGTACAAAATATCAAGATTATTTTGTCCAAAAATTAATTTTTTAAACCGCTGGTAATGCTGGAAGTAGAGTTGGCAGAGAACACAGAACCGTTTGAAGACACTTTATCAAAGACTTTCATCAGCGATCGTTCCAATGGACTATACTAATCTCGCATGTTATATTAACGTGTTTCAAAAGCGAACATAAGTCTTTAGTCTAATATTGATTATCTGTTAAGAAAAAGAGTATATGTTAAGCAACCCATATATTTTAATAATTGTATCTGTATGTAGATACAAATTATTTTTTTCTTCTCGCTTTGGTACTAACTCTGAGTATACTTTTATTATTTTTTCCCCTAGACTGAAGCGAAAGAAAATTACCTAGTGATGACCGTGAAGGCATTGGATCGAGACCAAAATGAAAACGGGAGAGTTACATACCATTTTAAAGTCGATGGAGAGAATCAACAAGAAACCAAAGAATTTAAGATAGATCCTGTAACTGGTGAACTGAGGACCAAGCAAATGCTGGACAGAGAAGCTAGAGCCAAATATAATGTAAGTAACATAGCAAAATGCTTGGCCAGTAATACACCCTTCATTGTTCTCGATAAAATGTTATTTTAAATATTACCAGCTTTCTTCTACATTTTTCTTTTTTTAGTTTTTTATTATATTGTCCACAGCGTTTATGCAAATCTACACACGTTATTTGTTTTGTCTTTATTTCAGTTAATACTCACGGCTAGAGACCACGGAAGCCCAAGATGGTATGAATCAGTGAGAAGACTCACTGTTTTACTTGTTGATGAAAATGACAATCGTCCAGAGTTTCCTGGATCGTTGTCTACCAATCCATACCGATTCTACGTTGTGGAGAATAATGAGAAAAATACGCTGATAGGTAATGTTATACGCCATTTAAAATATCCCACTAGTAGGTTACATCCATTGCTATCGACCAATCTACCTCAAAATGTAACTTGATCTTTACATAATAAAATACACCAAGGCACAGAACGGGTGAAATCACTAGCAATAAGTCGAATATCATTTAAAAGCCCCTTTCATGTAGAATAAACAAATAGTGTATTGTTTTCCAATTTGTTGTCGGAGCATGCCGCACAATTAACGATCTACATCTGCATGTAACCAAAAACGCGCTAAAAGTGAACTGCAAACTGTTCTACCAACCAAAAGTCAAACATCAGAGTATAATAATTTTTAAATTAATGGTGCTCCTGAAAAGACTGATTCAAATCAAACTGACATCACGTAAGTTTTTTTCTATTCTCCAACTACCACGAAGGCCTAAGGCCTAAACACCCATGGGGGCTATAAGGGGATACAGGGGAAAAGGGGGACGCCACACGGACTCTGGCGAGGGAACACGTGTGCATGCAACATGCACACATTCTGGCCCCGCCTACGAGATCCGCCGGGTGGTACCTCCGCGTACGACAATCAGAGATCAGAGACCGTCTACCACCTACGGACAATCACAACATCCATAGCGAAGAGAAAAATTTCTCTTGGGACGGGATTCGAAACCACGCAGCCCACGGCGACTGACCAGGAGACCTAAGAGTGTACCACTGCGGCTACCGCTGCTGCACATTCATTTTTAATTTCAAATCAGCCTAGTAATTTTTAAGATATAATAGAAAATGATCTTCTGGGAATATTTTGGACACTGCATTTTGGAAAGGAGACGCTTTTAAGCCACCCCCTTGAATAAATCTACTGCTTTGGAAACATTCGGTAGATTTGAAAGCGGTGGGAGTAAAAAATAGTTGAACCTAAAAATGCAGTGAAAGAATCCAGATTTATTACACTGTGGTATATTCCCAGTTGATAAGGTTTGTCTGAATACGTACCCGATGTCGAACTAAAAACATCTAAAAATTAATCTCTTCACTTATCTCAAAACGGACAACACATTCGCACTTTCCATCTTTAATCTGTACCTTATGTTCCTAAATTAATAATATTTAAAAGTAATATTTGTGCGTGCATCGGTGTAGATATGACAGATATGAAGTAAATTTAGCAACCTGCAACATCTTCAAAGCTTTCTTCTACCTACATTACTACCCTCAAATAATAGGAATATGAATTATCTTATTCTTTATTTGATTGATGAGCTGAGACCAACCAAAGGAAGATTACTTTGATTTCCTACGCCAACTGGCGAGATAGTATTGTAATCGCAAAAAAATGGAAATTGAGATATTATGTTTTTTTGACGTTATATGACATGTACATCACGAAAAACCATGTCACTCATTTCCGTTGGTCTGTCTGTCTGCTGGCCTGTTCGCTAATCTTATAACCGCCTATAACTTGAGAGGCACCGCTCGGATTTTGATGAAATTTTACACTATGCCAAGGATGAAAAAGCTTCGTAGTTTTTGATGAAAATAAAAATAGCTCAAACTTCGTTTTTTGGCGTTTCAGAGTTAATTTTCGGAAAATTATTTGTAGGGGTTGAAGCTTGGGGGTTGCAAGGGATAGGGAATCGTAAATGTTACGTCTTTAGTATTACTCAAAGAAGTTTTACCATTAATAACCCCGGTAACAACGGGCAAATTAGCTTGCAACCGTTGGCTTTGCGTACATGGCGCGATGCTGCAACTCTGTGGAGGCCACTGCCAAGTGTGCAATGGGTAACAAACTCCAACTGGTGAATTTGAGGTGATGTCACTGGTATACTGCTACAGGAATATATATATATATATATATACAGGGTGACTTCGAAGTTAAGTCATTTATTTTAACAGTGAGTAGATCTGATCAAAAGAAATGTTTTTTTCCTTTACCATTTTTCTGGTAAAATTAAAGTAACAAAGTTATAGCCCTTTGAAAGTTTGAGTACCGCCCTGTCTCAATAATAATATTATGTGCTCGTGTTTGGCAACAACGGATATAATCCGCCTTATCGGTTCATCGCATCGGAAACAAAAAAGCGAAAGAATTTGGAACGATGTTTTTACAATTATTTTATGCAGTTGTATACAGTCAGTGTCAGTCGGTAACGCGTGAGTGAATAGTGGTGTCTGTTGCGTGGCTCAAACGAAATAAAAAATGGCACATGTTTATGCGGATCGGTTTCCCAATCGAGTGCAACCAACCCCTCGTGCCTTTGTTAATGTAGTACAACGGGCTCGTGAATCAGGTGACTTAAGACCTCACAGGAGACGGCATGCAGGTGCTCCAAGCCCTCATGATCAAATACAGGTCCGCTCTGAAATACTTTTCGGGAGGATACTTTATAAAACAAGGTAAAAATTTTTTTTATTTTTTTTATTTTTACACACATATTTTGGTTTATCTTCCTTCTACAATCATTATCTGAAAATTAATGACTCAACTTCAAAGTCACCCTGTATATATATATATATATAGCGAAGATGACGACAGTCACGTACCTACAGCCAAACAAATTGTGCCTAAATACGGAGTAAATGGTAGTACTCGGAATAAAGTATTGATTGGGGATAGACGTGTATTTTTTTGGGGTAAAAGCCAAATCAAATCTACCCCGTTTCTTACATCAGAAGTGGGATTACATCCGTGCCGCATTTTCCACTTTATATTGGACAAAAAAAAAAAGGGAACAATGTCGGAAGAAAACAGTCCTCGTCGCGAAAGTGTCGAAGTCGCGTGTAGTGCCGAAGTGGATACCGAGGAAGTGGCTATGTCTCCGCCAACTCCTAAACGGCGGAAAGTTGAGTGGCAGGAGACATTGATGAACTTAGTGGCTGCACAACAGCAACAGTTAGCCGAGTTAACTCGGCAGTACAGAATGACATCGTCCGCCCCGCCAACACCCAGGGATACCATCGTAGATGGCACACAGGCTACGATGTCTGGACATACGTCGTTTAAGCTCACTACGTTCGATCCCGACAAAACTGCATACTCCATCGGGGAATGGCTGGATGACGCTACGAAGCTTAAAGATGAACTAGGTATCAGTGATAATTTAATGATTGCTAAGGCTAGCGAAGCTCTCAAAAATCGTGCGTATCAATACTGTTGCGATTGGAGACCGAGATGCCGAACCTGGAAAATATTCTGTGACGACCTAGTGGTAGCCTTTCCAGACCAGGAGACTCCAGGTGCCCGTGCTTTTAAGGCAGCTACACTCCGGAGTAACGATTGTGAAACTTTATGCGAATATGGCAACCAAAAGCTACGTTATATTCGCAGATTCCAAGAAAACTTGCCATGGAACAAGGTACTTAGCATGGTGGAATATGGGCTGGATAACACAGAAGCCCGTTCTACTTTGCGCATTCAAATTCCGGACTCAGAGCGAGAGTTAATGAAGCTGTTTTGCGAAATGGATGCGCGCCAAGTTGGCCGGTCAAGCAAATTCAGGAGAGCTAGCGCACTCACAGGAACAACCTACAGATCAGAACATCATTCTAAGAACCACTACAACCAGAAACCAGCTAAAATAATTAAAAGTACTTGTTTCAACTGTGGTCGCAGGGGACATCACCAGAATACATGTCGTGTCGTGCAAATGGACAAAACAGTGGAAGTTGATGAAAAAGCCGAAACTACTGCCGTGCCATCTTGCACTTATTGCAAAAAGATGGGGCACAGTGAATCAAATTGCTGGTCAAAACATGGGAGGCCCAAGAAAGCATTTGTATTGAAGAAACGACGCCAGCTACAAGTTACTCCGATAGCAACATTATTGTGTAATAACCAAGCAACATTATTTACCTACATCATTGACAGTGGTGCCGATGTATCCATAGTGAAACGCTCTGTCATAAGAACAATTAATGGCATTGTCAGGTCATCCGAACAAGTGCGTGCCTTTTCGGGACTCGGGAACAAATCTGTTTACGCCGAGGGTGTGAGCGACCTGATAGTCGTTCTGCCAAATGTGACTTTAGAGATAACTTTCACCGTGGTGTGTGACAGTGCTATTCCGGGTGATGTTGATGTTATTATTGGATGGGATGTTATCGGTCGACCATCTGTGCGAGTTGAAAAGAATGCCGATGGCCTGGATTTACATTGTGAACCAGTTAATGCGATGAAATTGTTCACCCTAAAGACTTCTGTGGATGTTAAGATAAATCAGCAAGGGCTAGATGACAGCTTAAAGCCACAAGTGGAGAAATTACTAACACTCTATAAAAGCAAAACGCCTGAAACGATTACAACAGGTAAAATGACCATTCGATTAAAAGACAGTACTCCGGTTTCATACCGTGCACGTCGTTTAGCACTTCAAGAACGAATAGAAGTTAACAAAATAATTGACGATCTTTTGTCTAAAGGAATCATCCGAAAGAGTCGTTCAGAATATGCCAGTCCTATTGTTCTAGTTAAAAAGAAGAGCAATGAGATAAGGATGTGTGTTGATTACCGAGATATAAACAAACGTGTTTATAAAGAAATATACCCCCTACCCGTTATCGAAGAACAGGTGAACTCATTGTCTCACGCCAAATACTTCACTACACTAGATATGAAGTCTGGTTTTTATCAAATGGAAATTGAGGAAAGTTCCAGACACATTACTGCGTTTATCACACCAGATGGGCTCTATGAATTTAACCGTATGCCTTTTGGATATGTCAATGCCCCGGCAATATATCAGCGAGCAATTGACGAGGCTTTGGGAGACCTGAAAGGCAATAAGGCTTTTGTCTACCTTGATGATGTGCTCGTGCCGTCGGCGACAATAGAAGACGGCTTGCAATATCTGGAGGAAGTGTTGAGTGCTTTGGCTATTCATGGATTTTCCTTGAACTATGAAAAGTGTAAATTTTTTGAGAAACAGATAGAGTATCTTGGTGTCCTATTGAGTGAAGGAACAATTCGCCCTAGTCCGAGAAAAGTGAATGCGCTAACCCAATCACCTTCTCCGACAAGTGT